CCAACATAATGGGGATCTGCATTTGCGCCCATATAAGGCTTCATAAGGCGCACATTGAATGCTAGTATGGTAACTGTTGTTGTAGGCAAATTCCACTAAAAGAAGATACGTGTCCCAGCTTCCACCAAATTCCAAAACACAGGCCCGCAACATGTCCTCCAGGGTCTGTATGGTTCTCTCGGTTTGTCCATCCGTTTGGGGATGATAAGAAGTGCTCAAGTCCAGACGAGTACCCATTCCTTGCTGAAGCGATTGCCAAAATCTTGATGTGAAGCGATTGTCTCTATCCGATAGGATAAAAATAGGTACTCCATGCCTAGTGACAATTTCGCTTATATAAATCTGAGCTAGCTTMTCCATCTTATAGTCCTCCCTGATTGGCAAAAAGTGAGCAGATTTTGTCAAACGATCCACAATCACCCAAATGGCATCATGCCCTTTTCCTGATCGGGGTAGCTTAGTTATGAAGTCCATCGATATCTGCTCCCATTTCCATTGAGGAATTTCGGGTTGCTGGAGTAGACCAGAAGGTTTTTGGTGTTCGGCCTTAATTATTGTGCAAGTCACGCACTTATTTACATATTGCGCAATATCTTTCTTCATTCCAGGCCACCAGTAATAGCTTTTAAATCCTTATACATTTTGTCTGCTCCYGGGTGTATTGAATACTTTGATCGATGAGCTTCATCCAAAATAATTGCTCTAAGATTGCCAATCCTAGGTACCCAAATTCTATTTCCCAAATAACACACTTCATCAGACTCCATTTGAAATTTGGACTCTATGCCATGVAGGGTTTCATCCTTTAAGTTCTCCTTCCTTAGAGCTTCCTTTTGATCTTCTAGGATTTGAGCTTTCAGACTAGTTTTTACCAAGATTCCCAAAGCCCGCACCCTTGTTGGCTTTATACCTCCTTTCCGGCTCAAAGCATCGGCCACAACATTGGCTTTGCCCGGATGGTATTTGATCTCACAGTCACAATCACTGAGCAATTCAACCCATCTTCTTTGTCTTATATTCAACATTTTCTGATCAAGGATGTGCTGAAGGCTTTTATGATCTGTGTAAATGGTGCATTTTGTGCCATAGAGATAATGCCTCCATATTTTAAGTGTAAACACCACTGCTCCCAACTCAAGGTCGTGCGTAGTATAGTTATTTTCATGCACTTTCAGTAGTCTCGATGCATAGGCAATTACTTTATCCTTTTGCATCAATACACAACCTAAGCCTTGATGTGATGCATCACTAAAGACCACGAAGTTATCCGAGCCCTCTGGTAGGGATAAGATAGGTGCATTACACAGCTTCTGTTTGAGAGTCTCGAAGGCCTCTTCTTGCTTCTCGCCCCAGATAAATTTCTTATCT